TTGCAAGTGCATTCCCAAAGGACTTGCGGTGACAGCTCCCTGAAAGTTCTGTGATTAAAGCAGTTTCAGGCTAAAACTAGATGCTATCATACCCTTCATGATGGAGAAAAGGAACAGAATTGCCTAGCCAATTAGCCTAATCTGTCTTGTCTTTAATTTGTCTGTTTTGCATAACCACAGTATTAACCAGCAGTTCACTCCTGCTAATCCCCAGTGCTACAAAGAAGAAAAGAACCCATTTGTATATTACAGTGTAATCATAATATCTACTAATTTCCTCCCATACACTGCAGGCCTCTTTTGAAAGGAGATTGCTGGCATTATCCCCATTTTATAAATGAGGAGACTTACAGTATAGAAAAATGATTTCTTAGGAACTGAGAGTTACTGATAAAGTAGAGCCTGATAACAGTGTAACTGATAATATAGAGAATAAAACTCAGGTCTCCTAAATTCTCAGCACAGCTTACTCCCTGCAAGCTTCAGTGCTCACTTGCATCTGGGATTACGAGTGAAATCTGCAGCAAACCTTTTTCTCCTGCATTTCTAAGTAATTTATTATTTTCTAATTTTCTTAATATCACCACACACTGAAGTACGTAATTACAGAATTGCTTGCTTTCTGTATGTTGTGTATACAAGGACATAACAAGGACTTTTTAGTGGTGGTTTTAGAAAATAAGGTTGACTTCAAAGGAGGCTACTAGCACTATCCTTTTTTTAAAAAGGGTCTCATGGTCTCATTTTGGTGCTTTCATAAAATGAAATATAAATTTCCATGGATTGAAGGGAATGTATTGTTTGCAAAAGCCCTGCAAACTTTCATCTCAGCTTCATAGCTCTTCATCACACATAAACTCTCATAGGAGCATCTGTCTATTGCTGTTCTATTTCAGATGCTTATCCCATGCCCCAATCCCAGCCATAGGTCTCCTCCTCTTCCAATAAGTGACACTATTGTGCCAAAAGGTGAGAGAAGAGGGCTTTTTTGTAAATTAAGATCAGATGTAAGACCCCTATGCTCATTTCATTCCTTAGAGGCAAGATTTTCAGAAAGGTCAGAACCATGTTCTTATATGAATAGTTTTCCTTGGCATATTTTGACCTTCAGACAGGATTCAGAAACTAGCTTAAGAATCAGGTAACAAAATCCTGGCACCATTGTGGAGGAGATTTGCCTGCTTCTCCTACCCCAAGGAAAATAAACCAGAGGAGAAAGACAGAAATTACTGTGTCTTATGTGTCTGGACAGTGAAACTTCCGTAAGGAGATTTTCAAATTTATTGTTGTCCTCGCTAGATCTACATTTACACTTACACTGTTATGTTAACACATTTGAGTATTTGTTTGCTTTCCCAGTCCTCACTGTTCGCAGGCTCCTTAAAATGTACAAATTAAAACTTGACATAACCTATCAGTTTAAAAATAAGCAAATGTTTTGCTAGTTGATCTCCTCTTGCAATTAGTCAACTGTTACTCTTTTTTTCCCCAAAGAAAGGCTAGTATCAAATTTAGATCTCTATTCCTCTTCTGTGATAAGAAGCATCTCTTCAAGATTGCATTGCCCTGAAGAGCAGGTGGACAATATCAGGCTCCTTGGCTCAAGATACTGCTGCAATCAAGTATGTTTGCTATCTGAAGGCTAACAAGTGAGCACTAGGATCTTCTGAGTTTCAAAAGCTAACAACTTTCAAAAGCTGGTTTTGACCTCCAATGAACCAGGCTGTAGATGCTTGCTACCTGAAACCAACTTTCCGTGTTTAGCTGATGAGTTGACTGAACAAAGCCTTACTGGATCTCTGCCTAGACACAGTTTTAATATCCCCGTTTAGTTTTGTGGCAGCTCCTAGCTCTGGAGTCCCAATGGCAGGGCATGGTGGTCCATGATTAATGGTGCTAGACGTACAGAGCAGCCATGAAGATACTCCCTCTGTTAGGCAGCAAAGCAAAGATTGAAGTGGCATCTTGCAGGTACGCATGTTTGGGACACTCAAAGAGTCATCAATATCCCAGAATGAAAATGTGTCTGCATCGATTTTAGGTGTGGGGAATGTTAAGAGATGTCATCAATCATAGCTGACCAGCAGTATGTTTGGGGAGAGTGGGCTAAAGCATGGAGGAATGCCAAAATACTCTTACAATTGGCAACTTCGTGAAAACAAGATCGTCTTCCCTGCAAGCTCGAAAACTGAGTCTGAGATTAATTACTTAACTCCTAGTACTCTTGAACTTGGTGCTTATTCCTATGCTCAGCTGTTCTTTAACAATAACATTAATTTGAATATTTTACAAGCACATTTGAAGTTTATTTACGGAAACATCCAAAATTCTTCATTTTAGATGTATATGGAGAGTTGATTGCTTTTTCCATAATTGGGATTGCAACTGTGATCTTTTATAAAGCTATTATTAGTCCCAATATTATCACAGCTGTAGCTTCCAGGACTGACTGAGTTTAGAAATGACTCAGTTTCTTTTAAAGGCTAAGATGAGCTTTTATGGCAAGTTTCAATACAGTTAACCTGGCCAAGCTTTAGGACTGGTTATGGCCTCACTGCTGTACTTTTAAAAATGAACCAGCTTTACATTTTGTGTCATTATCACTACCTGCCAGTCCTTGAAATATTCCAGGCAGTTACATTTCCTTGGAAGCTTGTGTGTAATTGTATTTGAAGAAAACAAGTTGTAAATGATTGAAGTTATCAGTGTTCATTCACTCTATATAAATTGGCATAGTGTGTTAGGTGGAAAGACTGTTTTTCTATATGCGTAAGGTATGTGTAAAGCGATATACTATGTAAACCCAGTTGTTTGCTGTTCACTTGGAGAGAATATAGAGGTCTCTGTGTTTCATCAGTGCAAAGCAAAAGGAACTGCTCTAACAGATGGTGCTATAGTTCTGGTTTTCGAGAGTTATGACCCAAGTCCAAGACCCAGTTTGTATGGTTGACTATTCTTTCTGCTAACAGTGCTACTTGTTTGTAATGAGATTTCAGAGTGAAATAATTTTTGAATGACTTACACACTGCAGAATTTTTTAAGCACGTGGCTAGGAGTGATGATGGAAAGTGGAGTATAGTACTAGGTGATACAGAAAGAGATATGAAGCAATTAGTGAAACTGTTTAAAAGTTTGAAGATCATATGTCTGAAGGTCAATAGTATTCTGTTATTCCATATATCATTCTTGGTGTGTACATGTGAAATTCCTTGAGCAATTCAACAGAGTACAGGCATTGCCCCAGCTGCTGTGGCTAGTGGTGTGTTGTTCTCAGAGCCACAGGAAGAGGAAAACAATTTGAAATAAGTTGAAACCAAACATTTTGACTATTAGAAACCATTTTAGCAACTGTATCTGGACTTTTCCAGGAGGGCTGCTTTATGACCTCTTGGCTCATTCTGAACAGCTCATCTATGTCTATGCAGAACATCTCCATTAGGATGATAAATGTGCCAAGAATCTCAAATATAACATTGAATAAACCTGCCAGGTGGTGTTTATATTCCAGGTGTCTCTCACTGATATTTCTTTTCCTTACAGAATTTTTGTGTGTGTTTGTTTGCTTTTTAAAAAGAAGCCACATCCTCACCTGTGGCCACGCTGAAGGGTTGTGTAAGTGGTGTGAATGCATAAAGGCAAAGATGATCAGCAGCTCATCTTTGCATTGCCTTGATGTTGCTGCTTCTCCCACTACACAGAAGGGCCTCTGCAGAGCTGCAATTTATGCTGGCTGTGATGACGATTTGAGGCTAAGAAATCCTGGCTCTCCCACAGGGAGTATGCCTTTCTCTTCTGACCAGGCGTTACGGTCCCAATTACAGCCACACCAACCTGTAGGGCTCCCTCATTGCTGGTACTAAAGATCTGCAGCTCTAAGTCAGAATGGGCTGCCTTTAATTTCAGCTTTTTTCTCTCACTCAAGCCTGTTATGTAGAAGTAAAGAGAAACATGCATGCAGTATCTCTTTGGGTTTATTCTTGGCTACCCACCAGGCACTGAATCTGGGATTCTCCACTGTATTCCACTAAGTTTGAAGTAGGGGTAGACCATGTTCATTCCCATCTGCTAATTTTGAATGCTAGTGATGCTCTGAATATTGCATGAGTTCAGATGGCTGCTTAAGTTTTGTGGCAGCAAAGAATAATATCCATAAATGACCAAACTTGGAGCACAGCTTGGGCCTAGCTATTTGGTTTTTGAAAATGGATTTGTATTTGAGTAGAATTTTTTATTTTAAAGAAACCCTCTTTTTTCCATCCCTGTGTCTTCCTACCTCTCCTCACACTTCCACAGCCCATACTGCCAAGGCCAGTATTTCTTTTTCACTCACACAGAGGAAGGTGGTTGCAGGGAGAAATTTCTGGCAAGGAAGATGTTAGCTGTATTTCTAGGAGATATTTTCCATGGTGAGAAGTAGGAGGATGGGGAAAGTAGGTGGGAGAGTAGAGAAAGAGAGAGAAGTGGTTGCCTGCCTTCAGTTCTCAGGGAATGAAAAAAGTAAATGTAGCCCCTTGTCTTCACAAGCTAAGCAACCTGCTGATGCCAGACAGCAAATGTTCAGGCACCTGTGAAGCAATGTGACAACTGCCAAGTTCAGACTCAGCAAGTGCAAGGGTCATTTACACAATCAGAAAGAAGGGCTTACTGTAGGCACATATTTTTATTCTGAGTTATTTGTTCAGGTTTGAATATATTTAAGATTAGGACAGACCCAAGCGAGGAGAAAAAAAACCAGACTAGTTTGGTCTGCTTTTTCTTATTCCCTTTATTGCACATTTGAGAGATGGCCCTCAAAACTTGTATGTTACTGAATGCTGGGATTTTGGACCCACAGGAGCTGGGAAGCTTGAATGCTTGTTTAAATTTTATGGCTCTGACTCCTCTCTGGCAGTACCAAGAACAATAAACACCACACTGTTCTTATGTCTATTCTCTCTTTTCCCTTAGTGTCAAGAGTAACCAATTTTTTTTCTCTTTTTTTTTCTTTTTTTTTTTTAAAGGATGATTCCAGCTACAAACAAAGCCTTTGTTGTAAACAACCTTGTTTCTGGAACAGGCTATGACCTCTGTGTCCTGGCAATGTGGGATGACACGGCCACTACCCTTACTGCCACCAATATTGTGGGATGCGCCCAGTTCTTCACCAAAGAAGACTACCCTCAGTGCCAGTCAATGCACAGTCAGTTCCTTGGTGGGACCATGATTCTGATCATTGGAGGCATCATTGTGGCAACTCTGCTGGTATTCATTGTAATACTCATGGTCCGCTATAAGGTCTGCAACAATTCCCAGGGGAAGATGTCTAATGTCAGTAACGTCTACTCACAGACAAATGGAGCACAACCAGTTCAGAATGGAGTCTTGCCTCAAGTCAACCCCAAAGTGGTGGTGAGAAACGAACTGATGGAGTTTAACTGTCAGTCTGCACGGAGCAGCATCTCCTCTTCCTCCAGCTCTGCAAATAGCCGTGACTGTGATGACTATAGCCTCCAAAGTGAACAGGGCACATTGTCCAATAAGTGGAGGCCTCCTTCCAGGTCAAAACACAATATTGACCGGCTAATGGGAGCTTTTGCCTCCCTGGAACTGAAATGTCAGAAAAAGGAGGAGATGACAGACTCCAGAACTTCCACGGTGGCCCACCACTCGGACAAAGAGCCACTGCTGGGCCAGCCAGAGTCCAAATTTCACAGCCTCCTCATGTTGCCTCTGGAGGGCAAAACTAAACGTAGCCATTCTTTTGACATGGGGGACTTCGCCACAGCTCAGTGTTGCACCTACCCAAAAAAGTTAACAAACATTTGGACAAAGAGGAGCCTCTCGGTGAATGGCATGCTTTTGCAGTATAACGGCAATGACCTAACAGGGGCGAAAGGAACTTTCGGGAGCTCAGAGTGGGTGATGGAAAGCACAGTGTAAATATCAGTGTCTCCCCTCTCCTCTTCTCCCTTCATGTGTTATAAAGCATGGTTTGCTGCAGGGCCATGCATTTGCAAAGAGAGAGGAGGAAATGTTTTCAGTTGTACTGGCCAAAAAGATAGGTAAATAAATAAGTAACAGGGATACTAAAAGAGAAAGAAGATCGTGAAATGTGAATAGGCACGTATGGCACCATTTTTGTCTGGCCCCAACTAAACCATGTGTGAATGTTTCAAGGAATTTGCTAGTTGTATTTAGCATTGCTTTCCAAAAGTTACTCAGACTCTTGGTGAACCATCACACAAGATTAAACAAGGAGGATGAAAAGGGGTTTAACAGCACAAGTTTAATTTTACAGGGTTTCTTCTTTTTTTCTTTTTTTTTAAAAGGGCACCTCTTTCTTTTCTGTTAACCACAGAAATACACTTCTGTGGATATAAGACTGGTTGATATATCTGGTTGTCATTGCAAGTGACTTTTGAGAAAGTGCAAGCAGGGCATCCACAGGGACAGATCAGAGCAAATTGTTCAGCATAATCTCATGGTGTTAATTGTGACTTCTGGGAAAACAATACTTGCTGTTGAGTGTGCTTTTGGTTGGAATTTAATGATTTCTTTCTGGTTTGCCTTGTTACTGCTTTTGAGTTGTTTTTTCCCCACAGCAGAAAGTACATTTCCATGTATTTTTTTTGTTTTGTTTTCTGTTTCAACAAATCCCCCAGGTGAAAAGGAGGATATGTACAAAGGTCAAAATTCTGATGTACTGTATAACCCACCTCCAATACCACCCCTTTATGTCCTAGGAAAAAATGAAGTTAGGGGCTAATAAATTAAAAAAAAAATCATCCTCTTTCTTCCATCTTTTTCGTAGTCTCTGCTTGTCAATGCGCAAGGCAGACTGCAGCAGCTATTGATATCTGTAGGGGTGTTGCTATCAAAGATGGGAAAAATAGTAATCAAGATTTCCTATTAAAGGATAAAGAAAGGGGAAACACAAGTAGCTCCCATGAACTCTCCACATTATGAATACCAATGGCTTTTGGCAAAGGTCACACTGTCACTCCCTTCAACTGACAGAAAACACAGACTTGCACCCTATTGTGACAAAAGCTCTTTGTACAGTCACTATGACATAGCTTGACTGTATCAGTAGCATCACAGGAAATGTAAAGTTTTGTGTATTTCAGGGGACTGGGTATGTTCTCAATTAGCCATGGAAACCAAGTTAAATTTGGGTGTCTCAGAGCCTGCGGTCTCTCATGTGTCCCTCGTATTACAGACAGCCCTTCCCCAGTCCCCAGTGTACTCCTGCCCCCCTGTCTCTCACCCTCACTAAGGTGCTTGGTAACTAAGAATGGGAGCTCTTTAGAGCTTGTAAACTGATTCTCAAATTCATTTTTGGGGAGCACTGATGTGGTTGTGGAAATGCACATGGCCCACCCAACTGACTTCATTGTCCTTAATGACTTTACTGTAATTTCCAGCATTCTGGTGGCTACTGCAACTGTACTTTCATGCCTTTATTTAATTGTTGGTTCCTAATGATCAGCTGCTGGGAACCATTCTGAAATTGCACTTTGTTACTATGATTTTGTAAAAGACATGTGGAGAAAGGGTGCAAGGCACAGAGAAAATAACACATGAAAAAACTCTATGTATATTTTTTTTAAAGGTGCAGAGATATATTGTGACATGGCTGTGTACTTGATCTTGTATTCGTCATGTTTCCTACTTGGAGTTTTAGAAAATGACATCCCTGTGATCAGAATATTTTTTCCTTTATTTTCTTTTTTTTGCTACAGTAAAAAACATTCTCGAGGAAAAGTACTTGCTTTTCATTTATTTGCTGTTCTGTGGTCTGCTTTGAAACCTAAGAAAGGAGCAGTAATTATTTTTTAAATTATCTTGAAAATTTAGATGTTTGGTTTCTCTTTCCCTCAAACTATCTTTGACTTCAGGATTTTAGTTATAAAGTAGGAATCAAGAAATACATAATTTTTTGGAACACATGAGAAAAGATCTTGTAAAAAGGCATTTCACCTCTTTCTGTGGTAACATTTATATGGATATATATCACTAATGTATTTTAAAACCTGATCTAAAATCTGCAGAAATAAGAGGAAGCCTGACTTTGTAGGTTTTTGCTCAAATTATTGCTCACTGCTGAAAATATATTCAAAAGAGATCCAGTCAAACTGTTTGCAATATCTTTCAAAGTTTCTAGTTTTCTCATGCTTTCCAAGAAGAGTGACACCTCTAGTGCCAGAATCTACATCATCCAACTGTCCAGATGGCACCTTCATGTTAACCATTTGGGGTTGTTCAGCCTGGAGAAGAGAAGGCTCAGGAGAGACCTTGTAGCAGCCTTCCAGTACCTAAAGGGGACTACTAGAAAGCCAGAGAAGGACTTTTTATAAGGGCGTGTAGTCATAGGACAAGTGGTAATGGCTTTAAACTGAAAGAGGGAAGATTTAGATTAGATATAAGGAAGAAATTCACCACTATGAGGGTGGTGACGCACTGGAACAGGTTGCCCAGAGAAGTTGTGGATGCCCCATCCCTGGAAGTGTTAAAGGCCAGGTTGGATGGGGCTTTGAGCAACCTGGTGTGGAGGAAGGTGTCCCTGCCCATGGCAGGGGGGGTGGAACTAGATGATCTTTAAGGTCTCTTCCAACCCAAAGCATTCTATGATTCTATGATTAATGACATTTACATTTATGTTGTACTGAAGACTCTTAAATGTGTTCATGTAATTATTTTGTTTTCCTTGCTACACTGTGGTGCAGCTGGACTTTTTTATTATGTTGCTGCTTCACTTTGAACATATCTATCTGGGTTGTTTTTAATTTAGCTGTTGAATTCATCATCAATATTATTAGCATATGCAGCCATGAATTTTCAAAAGCAATATCCTATACTACTTTCTTTATTAAAAAGGAAAACTTCTCTTCCACTTTCTCATACAAGATTAGAGAAAGTAAACCAACAGATGCTGTTTTAAAATAATGGATAGTTGCCAAACAACCCAGGTCATAATGTCCACAATCTAACAACAGCTGCATTTATTACTGTTAATCATGATTTTAATTCATTTAGCTTTAATAAATGAGGCTCAATCCACATCAGCAAATTTGCAAATACTGAGCAAAATGAAACAAGTGCCCAGCAATTAACTTTTGGTGCCCACAGCATCTGGGAGGAAGAGGACTCAGGGACTCATTGGTGAGGCAGGGAGCCCCATGGCAAGTCAGCAAGTGGCCAGCCCTGAGAGAGGGATGGAGCCAGCCTGGTGTGGTGGTGCAGTGCCTGGGCACCTGCTGGGTTATGATCGTCCTTCAGGTGCCACCAGCCACTGCTCCGCTTACATGGCTGGCCATGCAGACCTCTGAAATCATCCTGTGGCTTCCCCTTTACCACTTCGAGAGCTGCTGAAAACAGGTCTGCGTTTTGGTTACATCCTGAATACATGCCCTAGTTGCTAATGCACAAGGGTGACCCCAGGGTCCTCCACACACAATCTGACCAATCTCTACCTTGCCTTTGTTTTGCCTCCATTTTCATGTGTGCACCTCACTTAACATCTCTGGAGTTGATTATCTTTCTGTAGTGCTGCTGCATGGTAGGGATTCTTCCTTGCTTCACTTCTGAGCACAACTGCATGTCAGTGGCTGGTGAAATGATATATAGATATCACCCACTTACCTGGGTGTAATAACTATTTTCACACATCATTGAGTAGCTGAGCTAGCTCCAATGGCCTAGTTCCCTGGTCTCACAACCCTACACTGAGAAATTTATACAGGCCTCAGATAGCAAATTAACATGTGGTAGTGTGAAGTGCAGCTGCACCAACTGCACTTTAGATGCAAGTGTCAGACAGAGCAGATAGTAAGGAGAACAACAGAGATCAACAAGAGGCTTCTGAAAGAGAAACCTGGGAAACTAAAGGTGCTCCAGAATTTAATGTGAAGCCTGTGGGAATAATTAAAGACAACTGCATATGCGTATGTAACCCCTGTAAGTTAAATTTTTTTACATGTTTTATAATAGTGGAATAAACTTATTTTTTTTCTAAAAATATATGCCATTTACTTGAATGCACAGGATATGATTCCACTGTGAAATTCTGCACACAGTTAGTCCTGCAAAAAAACCAACCCAAATCCCCAAAATATCATCCTGGAGACTATTAAACAAGATGACAAAATGGATATTTCTGAATATAATGATGATGTGGATTTCATTTGATGTCTGCTTGGAGCCAAATGGTTGTATGAAATGAAAATAAAAATGTGTGTGCGTGTGTATGTCTGCATATGTACATATGCGTAGCAAAGCGGACCATACTATTTGTGTATAATTTATATCCTCCCTACAGATTTCATGAATTGGAATATATTTCTGGTTTCAAATGTCTTTTCTGAGTTTGCCAGCTCTAAAGAACAACAACTGATTTGCTTTCCCCTTATGCTTAGAGGAAGATAACCTTTTATATGTCTCCAAACTACACACAGTACTTGGTTACAATTTGGATTAATTTACAGGTAAAGCAATGCATAACAACAAAGCAATGAAAGGTACCTCTGCCCTGTATGATGCAAGACTGAAAATGTGGCAGCTTTTCCTTTGGTAAACCTGTTTATATCCCACACCATGGGATTGACAGAAAGAACAGAAGAAAATAATATTCCAAAAGACTCTGATTGTTTCATTCTCACTCTTCACCCAGCAAAGGGTTGCAAAGACAGATGACCAAAAAAAGCCATTGGAGGTCTCTGAGTGAATGCAATAAATGCAGCAATGATTTAAGCACTTTCTGACCTGGAGGCCAATGAATAATTCCACCTGATAACCAAGGAAACATTTTAGTCTTTGAATAGCTTAAATGTCGCATCTGTTTGCAATGCTTTGTAACCATTAACCTGTGGGTAACCCACACCACACTATATGCAGATCCCCTACAGCCTATTTTTCTGGAGACTTTTCTTAGTGACTCTCTT